GCCGCTCGGCATTAAAGGAAAACTGGTCCTGCTCCTTGGACCGTCATGGCCCATTCCGGCATTAATTAGATGACTTTTATTGTCGGCTAATGGAAGGAAGAGGGGGAGGGCGAAAGCAAAGTGATGCCTTACAGGTGGAGAACGAGAACGATACACTCCCAAAATCTATTTCTCCTTTGACACGAGGGATGACTGCTGGATTGCTTAACATTCCAGGTGGATACACAACAACTTGAGTGGGATTTCCCTTCCTTAGCATCGCAAGAATTTATCAATAATCTACTAATTGGAACTCTTTGATTTGGATTAAAAGGCAGGTGTTAATGAAAGTTGGAAATAGGACGAACGGGTGGAGTGTTGGGAAGTAGCCGGGCCATCATTGCATCATCAAAAAGGTAAATGGAGTTAATGGCAGCTGAAGAAGCACTGCAGTGCCAAACCAAGGCTGTTTTATGACTTGAAAAAGGGAGCCAAAGAAGCAGTGAGAATGGCACTAACAAAGTAACAGATATGAATAGTGCAACAAAAGGATAGCAAGCAAACAAACATATGCCGAGGCATGTGGTGGGCAGCAGAGTGTGGGAGTGATTCAATCTATCCCGATCTGCTTATATACAGACTCAAGCATAAAAGCTTTACCAAGCGATGAAAGAATCTCCAAAAAACAACTAAAATGAGACATAAAAGAGGGAAGGAACAGGAAAATGGCAAATATATTCTGTCAAAGACAACATGGAAAAGTGAATAGGCTGAAAAGACTTGTTTAGAGTGTAAATGAAGCAGCTGCAAACAGGACCAAGTCTATCAGTTTCCCAATCGATGAACTGGCTCTCATCTCCGGATTCTGGCTGTCACTCAAATTCCCGTAGCTTTACACTCGTGAAAAGTGTGCATTAGTGTGAATAGCAAGTACATTTCTAAAAAAGGCATTTTGGCTCTGGCTGCTTTGTCACTCAATTGAGCTCCGCAGGACATAAACCCATAGAGGCGTTTTGCCGCAAGCTGATCTAAGCCACTTTAGTGCGCTGCTCGTTAGTTTTACAGCTTTAAGGGGCTACTGATGAGGTCGCTGTACCATAATATGAACTATCAAGGCTCACTTCCAACAACAGCTAACAAAGTTGAGTCCATTAAACACTGCGGACCAGACTTTGAGCACGACATAAATGTATATGCACTTCAAGGAAATGCAGAAAACAAAACAGAGCCAAACCGAGAGTGAATATTGGATTTGAATTAGGGTTGGGCGAATTAAGGAATATATCGAACATTGCTTGAGTGCTTGGGGCCATTTTTATTTGGCAAATGTATTATTATGCCACTAAAAAGCAAGTTAGAGAAAGCACATCACTACAAACAATCTTTGAAAGGTACACACAAAAGTACCTAAAAACACCTTTCAGTGTGACTGTTGTCCTTTTTTTCCGTATTCAGGCATCATATCTACATTGCCGTGTAATAGTATTCATTTAATTATTCGTAGCGATAATAATTCTGACTTGCTAATTAACTTCCTGCTATCACAATATACTCACAAGCTCACTAAATAAGGAGATAGGGAAAGACAGAATGCAAACAAGAAAGACGGCAGGAGGAGAAGACAGAGAGCAAGACAGCGTGTTCGAGTGTCTCTCACACTTCCTACCCCTCCTCAAAAGAAGCCGTATAAGGCGAACCTCATGAAAGAGCCGAACCGCTCTATGCGTCAGAAAAACAAGAACCCCTAACGACGACAAGACGCCGCATCAACCCGTCATGTAAGATGCCAGCCGGGCACGTTTGAAGGTTTGTTGGCTGGGTGTGTGTTATTCAAGGCTCATCATCTCAAGGAAATGCAGGGGAACAAAGCGCCGGGATGATGCCTTGAAGATCTGACAAGAGCTTGACTCACCCGAAGAGAAGGCAGAGAAACAAATGCAGCGAGAGGAAGGGATAGAGAAAGATAGTGGAAGACGGATGTGATAATAAAGGAAATGAGAGAGAAAAGTGAAGAACGAGAGAGGTTAATGAAGGACAAACAAACCTCCCGAAATCTTGATGGAGGTCGTAATGTTCATTTAGAGGTGTTGATTCAACTTCATTGTCATTCTGGAGGCTGTACTGTAGTTGCATTGTATTGCGTTATACCGAAAGAACCAAAGAAGAAGTACTACAAAAAGTTGAGCTTTAAAACAAACACTCATTAGCTCTAAGCTGCGTGCCAAAATCAGTGGGAAGAGACTCAGGAGTCAGACTCTTGCGTGCCTCCCTCTACTTTACTTCCTAATTGTGTCTCCCAGTGACCACACTCTGTCTGCAGTGAGCAAGGTGGTCCGCAGAGCATTGCGGTATCCACTTAGCAGCTCTATTCTGAATGGCTTCAAGGAGAGCTCGATGGGCTGAAACATAAATAAATAAATCAGGGTGTATATGTATAGAAAATCCCGGTCAAGGAGGAAGTGTGCCGAAACGCACACATCCAGTGGAGCTGGAGTGGCTTCCAACCACTTCAAAACATGTCACAACAGCGTGGGGTCAATTCCCTTCGCGTACCGCTTGTAAACTTTCCCTCAGATTGTCCGCAGAACTCATAAAGAGAACGAGTGTGTCGCAAAATTGCTTCTTAAAACGTGCTGATTGTTTTCTCTTTTCTGAAAAACTCCCAGTTGGTGATCGAAATGGCATCAGGACCCGTTCTATAGGTGCACTTTGTAAAATGCACTTTGTGATGTCTTTTAATTAATGCTGTCAAAATTATCGCGTTAACGGCGGTAATTAAAAAAAATGATTTAATTGCGTTAAAATATTTAACGCATTTAACGCATATGCAGAATGGCCCGCCCCATACATCCCACCAGTGGCAGCGCTGGGGTAGGTTACAGCCATACCAAGAAATGGCTTAGCCCCAACATGAAAAATGATGTTAAAGTAAGCAAAATAAAGTCCGCCAACTCGCAGAGTAAATTGCACAGACAGCAGTAAGTAAGATTGATTTCAGTAGCCACTTGTCTGGAAATGCCAAAGACTAGAAACGGTTTTGAAAACTTTTGTCACGTAGTGATCGTCTTCTCAATAGAACATCTTTGATAATGTCTTCTGGCCAATCAGAATCAAGATAACGGCGTGGTGTTGTTGCAGGAAGTCCCGACGGAGAATACTTTTGCTGTAGTACAACTCTATACATCGATACAACATTACGTGTTGATAGAAATCAACACGTAATGAAGTAAGACCCCACGGTTTGATGATTGATAGGTGTGTGGGCTGTCTTTCATTTTGACACACAGAACAATGTTATGATAAACATACATACATACTGTAGCCTACATGTGAAATGGATATATCCGCCTTCTTTCATTTATCTTTCCATTCCCACAACAATATACATAAAGAAATGGCATATTTTGGACATAGTTCAAATGGTGATTAATCATGATTAATTCATTTTTAAGCTGTGTTTAGTCTGATTAAACATTTTAAATCGTTAGACAGCCCTACTTTTAATACGTAAATATGTGTCTCCGGTGCGTCGGGGAACTCACGCAGCGTCAGAAAATAAAACCCTCTCTTTTCCTCCGTACCCAAATCTTTTAAAAACGGGTGTACAACGAGCGGATACAGATTCCATCCGAACTGACGGCGGCGGACCCACAGAAAGTTGCTATCAGAAACAATGCCTGACGTGTTTTGGACGTCTTTGTTTACATTAGCAAGCCTCGCTAACACTCAGAGCTAACCTGTACTGAAGAGCACATAAATAAAACTGACCTTGTGATAAACCTGCAAGAGAAAAAGCAGTTGAGTTCCATACTGTTTCAGAAATAATCCTTGAAGTGGTTTAAACAGGATGGCGTTTTATCACAGCAGAATTTAACCTTTATCTCGGGTAGAATTCTGGATCAGGCATTAGCTCCGCCTCCTCTTCTTTCTTTTTTTTCAAGCTAAGGACCCAAGTTCCGCGTTTCTCTAACAGGGCTTCAAAAGAGGGGTATGAGCAGTAAGAGGCATGGCTACAATGGGTGATCTGTTTGGTATTTTGAAAAAAAGACTTCACAGACATGTTTTGTATAGGTATGGCCCTGCAATATATGTTTCAAATATAGCATGATAGGTCCACTTTAAATTGATTCGTTCATAAACATCCATTCAAAGAATTCACCATTTTTTTTATGTCTTTTCTAAAAAAAAAATTCAAGGTGCCATATTAGAACAGCAACTCCATTGGAGTTTTTACAAGTAAATTCAAGACCTATCTTTTTAATGTGGCTTTTCATTTGGGGTATTTTTTGTTGTATATCTGTTCATGATGTATTCTTTATTTTTATTTTCTATAACTCTTTCCGTTTGTTTATAACTTATTTATAATTATGTTCCTCCATCTTTATTTTGTAAAGCACGTTGGGCTGAATCTTGCATGAAAGATGCTATATAAACAAAGCTTATTGTTATCATATTCAAATCAAGCCATATGCCTTAATTAAATGTATTCTAATTAGTTTATTTTAGTGCATATTTTTTACTGCATATCTAATAAAGGAAGAATGTTTTTATTGTTTATACCTTGGTTACGGTTGTAATACCCCAAAATCGTATTAAAATCTTCCATAAAAAGAGGATTTTCCATCAGTTTGTGCGTGCTTTGCATTTGGAAGATTATGTGTATCCTGTCAAAATAATTAAGTGTGAGATTTTAAGTGTTGCACAATATAAATGCACACAGCAGGAGGGCTCTGGAGAGGAGAGCGTACACGTCACAGGTCGTGTTCTTAAACAAACACACACAGCAAACACCAAACACCAAACGAAGATGCTTAGAGAAGTCGAAAGCACATTGAAACTGATACTCAAATGTCTAAATGAAAGAAGAGAAAGAGATTTAGATTGAGATTTTACAGACTGCCTCGGGGGTCCCAGGGTTGATTCCCTGTGACCTGAGTTGATGAACCGTGAGTCTTGCCGGCTACGAAAGATCCATCCGGCACTGAGGAGAGCCGCCGAAGGGAGGAGGACTGATCCTCACATCAATGGCATATCAAACCAAAGATTAGGAAGTCTTGAAGTGAAAAGGAAAGGGTTGAGAGATGGCACTTACCGATGTACTCAAACACGTAGACGACGAAGAACGGCGTGACCAGGTCGTTGATGCCTTGCACGTAGCCGCTGGCTGGATGGCGGATGGCCCAGATGAAAAGTATCCGCTCAAAAATCTTAACACAGAGAGATTGTGTTAATACAGCTTGTAGAAAAAAAACATTTTAGAAACTAATGCACAAAGGTAATCAATTCTAAATGATATGCCACAGAGAAGCAAGTGGATAACCAAGCTTCAAGCTCATCAGGAAAGGTTTAATCTACACATTAACCCTCTGTCGATTTGTCAGGATTTATATTGGTGAACTCATTTATTGGTTAATAGTATTTCTTACAAATCTTATGTTTCAACCATGTTCCCTGACACCATCAATTGTTTTTCCTGTAGCTATCAAACATTGGATGAATAGAATATTTAACATTGTGAGGCGGGTGTGAGGAGACAGTAGTAGAAATCAGAATCATTTGAATCATGCCAAGCTTGTGAAGTGGAAAGCAGCTGAACTAGCTTTGGTTTTGGGAGTGAAACAATACCGATGTGGATATTGATTTTTAGGCTTCATTTGGTTTACTGTGATTTTTGTATAACCGTTATTATTGCATATTAGTTCCTCTCTTACATATAATATAAGGGGTATATTATGTATCTATTTCAAACAATACACTTAAACAGGTTGCCATGTTAGTGTTCAATTAGGAGGTAGCCCCGCCCTAAAGCATATGCTGCCTTATTATCTATTTTTACTCGAAATGGGAGCATGATTATATAAAATGAACATTATGCTGTATTGATGACGTTTTAAAACTAGCAATTGAGACCGTAAACTCATTTGGAAACGTTTACTGAGGTAATAAATCAAGTGAGAAGTTGGGTCATTTTCTCATAGACTTCTATACAGTCCGTTTCCCCTGCTGGCCATTAGAGAGAATGCAGGTTTAATGCACTTAAGCATCTCAGTTCTGGAGGTCTGCCCTTAGATACACTGTTTATTTGCCTCTCACTTTCAGCACAAATCAACACCTTAATCCTTACTGTCTGATCTGCATTTTTGTACATAAAAAAAGCTCACTTTGAAATGTATTTTCTGTTTTGGTGTTGGTCTCCTCCCTCCTCTCTTATTTTTGCACTCAGTATCTGTCTCTTAGCTTTTCCCTTCTGACTAAGTCTCCTCCTCACTCTCTGTCTCTGCCTGATTTCAATATTTTTGTGCAAGGCAAACACTTCCATCTTCGTTATGTGTGGCTACTTAATGCTGTCAGCCCCAGTGAATTACAAGAGGCATGATGTTCAGCTTGTTTTTCTGGTGCCCCCCCCCCCCCCCCAAATACACACTCACTCTCACACACCTTGCTGTACCACACCCATCAAGCACTTTCTTATCTTTTGGGAATATGTCATGTTTCTGTCACTTTCTAAATCACCTCATAGCTCATTGTTTTAGGAGTTTAAGGAGCGAGAGAAAACATAGCCATGTGTTTTTCTTCTCATTTCTATTTAGAGTAATTCGATCAATGTTAAGATAGCGGGAGAGATTGGTAAAGTGCAACTCTCTCTGGTTTTTCCAGACACCTTCTCCTTAAATCTCCCTCGCCTGCCTCCACAGCTCTCCCCTTCTGTTTTCCTTATCAAAGTCCCATCTGTCAAGCAGGGAGAGGTACGGCTGATGCAGGGGGAGTGGGTAATAGGACTTTCTTTTTGTGCAACCTCAAACGCTGACGTGCATATTTCACATTGGCACCTACACACTTTGAGAGAACCCCTGCATACACACACCATACCCACTGATGTGAAAGACAACAAACAAAGAACCAAGCAAACTGGAGAAATAAAATCCCGGTTTACACAGAGTTCCCTCGCTCCTCAACAGACTTGGAAATGATGTTAATCTCACATGAATTTGATATTCTTGTCATAACGCAGAGCGTCTCTAGTACAGGAAATCAGCTTTCCTGTGACCCCTGTGTCATAACGCTATGGTTCCATTCAATTAGTGCCAGACCCCAAGGACCCTGATAAGGGAACTCTCTAGAGGTGGAGAGGAAATTGACGAAACAAAAATGGTGTCAAGTAAAAAGGACTTTTCACTGACATCTGACATACAGTTGAAAATAAAGCTTAGAGAAGGCTTAATGATGATCCTATCGTCAAAAGATCCTGGTCTAAATCACTCAAATGTCACCAATAAACAGACTAAAGTCTAAATGTGCCTCCCTTTTAAGTTTGTCATTGACGAAAAGCATCTGAGATGAAATTATATTACTTAATATGGGAGACACGGATAAATACGGCTCTAATCACAATTTGGCGAAATGGAACGTTTTCTTTTCACGTTGGGAACTTGTAATTGCCGATTATCAACATCTTGCAAAGACTGCATTGTTCTGCAGAACAAGAAAAACTCAAACACTTAGATACCACTTAGGAAATCACTTCACTATCCCTCTCTCCCCGAAATGGAACAGACTGTCGACTGCCTTCCATCTCGACTAAATCTCTCCAAACCCCACGGGGGGTGGGGGGTGGTGGGGAGGAGGGAGCGCAGACAAACAAGTGCAATGAAATGAAGCGGAGGTGATTTTCAGGTGGCACCGCAGCAAGCATAACCATATAAAAGAAGAGGGGGCCTTTGGAGTTTGTTGCATACCAAATTATACGAGGCGCACGCTGCTGGAATATATCGCTTTTATTTAGTTGAGTCGGTGTGTGGGGGTGAGAGGGAGAAAGAAGTTCAGGATGAGTGGAAAAGGAGGTCAATGTAGAGGACATGTACAGTTGTAAAACATACTATACAGCCCCCTTGTCTGATCTTTTTCCCCCGCTTATGTTTTATCCCTTTGAAGAAGGGTTAGCGAAAAGCTGCTAGAGGCACGGTGCAAGAGTCTGTGATAAATGCCCCCTCATTGCACCTGCTATTAAACACTAAGAATAATATAAAAGTTCCCTTATATAAGAAAAAGGGGGGAATTAAGTTACTATACAAAGGGTAGCGTATGTATTTTCTCCCACACACTACCCCCCCCCCCCCCTGCCTGAAACGCCTTTATTGGACTCCTTTCTTCACTTCCGTGACACAATGACATCACTATGCAACACTCACGATTCTATTAGATTGCGCTCCCACACATTGCATGTGAACGGGACATCTCTAAGTTGACCAATCGCAACAGAGCCGACCAGCTGACCAATCAGAGCAGACTGGGCTCTGGTTTCAGACAGAGGGTGAAAAGAGGTTCTGCAGCACAGGCAGTATGAGAAAAATAAAGAGCTTTTAAAACATTCAAACATGTAAACATGTCACAGTAGAGACACTAAATACTAATATGAACCTGAAAAGGAGCATAATATTAGCCGAGCCAACTTCTCACATAATAAAGTTACTTGCACCATATTTACATACTTAGTATTTACGTAAGTCTTTTCCAAAGCAGCCTCATTGATTTAAAAGTGATGGATGGTGCGCATTGCCGTTTGTTTTCCTAATGTGCCCTAACCTCCGCTGGTAGTTATTGTTTTATGCGGGTTTAAAATTATTAGTTCTTATATGCACTAAAATACTCAAGAAATGCTTTGCTCAGCACTAACAGAGCAGACGTAGGAGCTAACCGTGCAGGGTGTGTGTGTGTGTATCTGATCACATGCTTGATTGTGAGGATTATATAATTCGTCTATATTTATCTTTGCTTCTGTGTGTGTCGGAACATGCTTTGTGCTGAAGCGAGGGTTTTCCCACATCAAACTCTTAGGCAGACACTTTCTTTGATGTTTAATTTTCAAACCTTTTTCAACTTATTTTCGCTAATTATCCACAAAACATCATTGCTAATGATGATGCTCCCGCTCAGATCTGCCCAAAAGCAGGCTAGGAAAACCCTGCTAGGTGAGGTGGTGTGTGCAGGGTAAGGGTGGGGGAGGGGGGGTTGTCTCACCTCTTGGACAGAAGCTTGTTGAAAGAGAGGAATAAGGGGATTAGTTCTCGGTATGTCAATGTGAATCTGCAGAGAGAGAAAGAGAGAAAAAACAAACTGAAGCAACGGGCAAGTTAGCACAGATATGGGCATCACAGACAGTGACAGAGAGAGAGCAACAGTTAGGGGATTGTATCCTTGATTGAAGGAAGGCT